CTGTGGAAGCTCAGGTATGGGTACAAAGTCTTGTCCCAAAGCCACTTTAAATGGAGTAAACACAGTACTACTATGAACCGAACTGTTATATGCCACCTCAGCAAATGGCAATAGGTCAGCCCAATCATCTTGTTGATAATTAATATAGCATCTAAGATATTGGTCCAATACCAAGTTACTTCTATCACAAGCCCTATTGGTTTGAGACTGGTGGGTGGATCTTAAATTCTGGGCAGAGCCCAATATCTTCAGGAACTCTTTTCAAAAGTTTGAGATAAATTGGACACCCCTATCTGAGATTATCCATTCAGGAACCCCATGTAACCTATAGGCATATAAAATAAACAGTTTAGCTTAGGTTTTCACAGGTGGGATTTTTGCACAAGGTTAGGAAATGTACCTGTTTGGAAAACAAATCTGTTACTACCCAAATAACTGTATTTCCTCCGCTTTCAGGTAATTCCACTATAAAATCCATAGAAATTTCTTTCCATGAAGCAGTCGGTCTAGCTACATTTTGTAGTAGGCCTGCTGGTTTACCAGGCAGCCGTTTGGCTAAGGCACAGATAGGACAACTAGCCACATAAGTTTCAATATCCTTTTTCAAAGTAGGCCACCAAAATTGCCTTTTAACCAAGTGTAAGGTTTTTACGAACCCAAAATGTCCAGCAGTTTCAGAATCATGAGCTTGTTGTAATATTTGGTTCCTCAGCTTCGCTGGCACATATAATTTAGCCCCCACCAATACCAATCCATCCCTAACTGTACAGTTATTTGAGTGAGTCAGGAACCAATCATCAAGTTTCAGAGCTTCTTTTAACTGTGCAGATAAATCCTTTGATAAATCAACTTCACCTTTTTTCTGGGCCCTGGTAACCATTGGAGCCACCAACTATCTAGTTGGGACAATAGGGTGGATCATTTCTGGACAGGCACTATTATATTGAGGCAATCTAGATAATGCATCCGCCATGAAGTTCCTCCCCCCTGGAATGTACTTCAATGAAAAATTAAAGCGTTTGAAGTATTGTGCCCAGATAATTTGCTTAGGTGACAGTTTCTGTGGAGTTTTTAGAGCCTCTAAATTCTTATGATCCGTCCACACCTCAAAGGGGTGTTTTGTCCTTTCTAGAAAATGCCTCCAGGTTAACAGAGCCCATCGAACTGCAAAAGCTTCTTTTTCCCAAATGCCCCATCTTCTTTCTGTCTCAGTTAATTTACAGGAAGTATATGCACACAGTTGCAGAGTCCCCGTCTCGTTTGCTTGTAGTAACACCTCCCCCACTGCTACATCACTCGCATCGGCTTGGATTACAAAAGGGGCGTCCATGTCCGGGTGTTTGAGCACCAGATCAGCGGCAAAAAGTCATTTCAACTTCTCAAAAGTGGCTTGACACTGTATGGGCCACTCCAGTGGCCTACTAGGCTTTGGTTTCACCTCCTCCTTGGTTTTTAGGAGATTTGTAATAGGCAGTACAATCTTCGCAAAAGCCAGGATAAACTGACGGTAGAAATTAGCAAATCCCAGGAAACTTTGTAATTGCTTCCTGGTGCAGGGAGGGGCCCATTCCAAAGCAGCACGAACTTTCCCCGGATCCATTTCTATACCATCATGTGATATGCGATAGCCCAAATAGTCAATTTTCTCTTGGTGGAATTCACACTTGGATAGCTTCGCGTACAGTTCAGCAGCTTGAAGTTTTTCTAAAACTGAACGCACTAGTTTCACATGTTCATCAAGAGTCTCAGTGTAGATAAGAATATCATCAAGATAAACCAGCATCCCATTGTATAAATGTTCATGCAAAACTTTGTTTATCATTTGTATGAATACCATAGGAGCCCCCTGTAGACCATATGGGAGAACGTTGAACTGGAAACATTCCATTGGGCAATTAAAAGCAGTTTTCCATTCATCTCCTTCCTCGATTCAAACTCGGTAGTAAGCTTCTCTCAAATCGAGTTTCGTAAAAATTTTCCCTTTGGCCAGGTGGGCCAACATGTCCTTCATTAAGGGGAGGGGGTACATGTTCTCCACTGAAATTGCATTTAAATTTCTATAATGAACACATAAACAAAGCGAGCCATCTTTCTTCTTGCTGAACAGTACTGGGGTTGCTACCCGAGTCCTAGCAGGTTGGATGAAACCTTGTTCAAGATTTTTATCAATAAATGACTGCAGCTCCTCTAGCTCCCGTGGTGTCATCGAGTTCAGTTTAGGCTTTGGGAGTTTCACTCCTGGAAAAATTTCAATACTGCAATCTGTTGAGCGATGGGGGTGAAGCTCGTCTGAGGCCTTTTCACTGAACACCTCCTTTAAATCCCAATATTCTTCAGGAATTTTCTCCTCCCCATCTCAGGTTCTCACTGCCCATAGATGCCAGCTCTGTGGAATTCTGGGTTTTCGGTTGAGATTGCCCCTTCCCTTCTGGGGGTTGGTCAGAGCGTATGCATAATGATCCCCTCCTCCAATCCACTTGGGGGTTCCACTTTCAGAGCCAAGGCAAACCTAGCAGTAGGGGGTGCTCCATCCCAGGGGCAACAATAAAACACAAAGTCTCTCTATGCCTCCCCATCATCATTTCCACTGGTTCCATTATGAAATGTGCAGGGCCGCCCCAGCTACTGATCCATCCAGTTGGCAAAATGCTACGGGAGTTTTTAAAATTCTTAGACTTAAACCCAGTGTCTTTACGACTTCTGAACTGATTAAGTACCTTGTGCACCAAGAGTCTAACAAGGCCAATATTTCCCCTTGGGGTCCCGATGTGGATATCCTTAATCTCACTGGGATGGTCATTGGGCCCTTGTTTGGACTTACCAGAGGGTCGTCTTCTGATTCGGATTCACTTTCACCAGAAGAGGTCAGAGTTCCCAGCTCCTTTCCTTTCAGAGGGGCGATCTCTACAACCTCCTCCACCTTAAGAGCCATTTCGTGAGGCTTGACTGGAGTTTTTTCGGGTTTTCTTCCTCTTCCTGGTGCCCCCTTTGGCTCTAGCTTGGCACGGCAGTCTGCAGCCTGGTGACCTTCCTTCCCACATCAAAAGTATGCAGTAGTTTTGGGTTTTGCTGCCAGCCCTCCCTTTTGAGGTTTTGAGGCTTCTCGAGGGCTGGTGGGGGATGATTTGCTTCAACCAAGCCCCCCCCCCCCCAGCATCTGTTTTGGGTCAGATCAATTTCCACTTCTGCTGCCAGCACGTACCACAGCTGCAGCTCACTGGAGTCTCTTCTGGCAATGCAGCTTTGATAAACATCTTCGTTCAGTCCATCTTTAAAAGCGTCTATCAGGGCTTCCTGGACTAGCCTCCAATATGACATGCCAGGTCTCTAAATTCTTGAGTGTATTCGGCCACTGATCTCCACCCCTGATTTATGTTTTCATCCTAATCCTAGCCTTACGTTCAGTTAGTGGGTCTTCAAATCTGGCGCGCAACGCTGTCATGAACAGGTCATAATTCATCAGCTGGGGGGCATTATCATTATGCAAAGTCACCATCCATTTTGCAGCTGTCCCTTCCAAAGCCCAGGTAACACATCTGACTTTAGCTGCTTCAGAGGAAAAATCCTCCCCATATTCTTCCATGTGGCTCCAGACCTGGGCTAGGAAGAATCCTAACTCCTTGGGATCTCCTCCATATTTTACTTCCAATGGAGGCACCTTTGGAGTTCGATGCCTTCGGGCAATTGCTCCCCCCACCGGGGGCCCCTGGGCTGCTGCCGCCTGTTGCTCTGGCCCAGGTTGATTTATGGGAATAGTTGCTTGGGCTTTCCCAGATGCCTCCCCCTTTTCCCTCTCATACCTTTGATCAGCATGAGTTCCTCCGACAGCTTCATTCAGAAGATGCAAGGCTTGAACTAATAAAAGATTCCTTCTTTCATCCTCTTGCCGTGGTTCTTCTCTTCTACGCCGTTGAGTAGTGGTCAATCCTGGAGGGGTTTCTTCCTCCGGATCCTTCCAGCCAACTCCCAGAGACCATTTAGGCTTTACAGCTGGTTTCTCATCAAGATGTAGCTCTGCTAAAAACTGAGCTTCCTCTGCAACATCTAGAAGCAGGGAAATTGGCCTTCCTGCCACTCCCAGGTCTTCTTGGTCGATGGCTGGATTAGACATTGTTTTCAGACCCCCTCGGAAGAAAAATATTAATTCTCTGGGTGGGCTGGTAAACTGAGATTCAGAATAATGTCAGCTGGTGCTCCATTCAAAATCCAAGAAAGAAATACTTAGACTCCATTAATTAGAGAAAAGATATCTTTTACTGGAAATCAAGTGGTAGCATCAAAGGAATTCTGAATCTGAGAAAATGAGCACGTAAATCACATATTCAAAGTGATGGCAATGTTCCCAACCCACAATAATTCAAACTGTCCATCCAATTAATAGTTGTATGTAACGTCATGTGGGCATCTTCAGGTGGTAATGTGGCATCTGTCCGTTGACCTTGACTTATTTTGATAAAGAGGTGCCCTTGTGCATAGCATAAGAAAGAAGCATAAACAAGAAACTTCCCCCCCAATTTATACAGTTTATTCTCTGAAACCTCCAGCTCGCTTCCCATAACTATTTCACCCCTTCATGCATTTTTTATATCTTGATTTTGACAATGCTCTTACAGTTTCAGGTTAGGATAGATTAAATACAGTTTTTAAAATGAATGGTCTCAATCCACCATGCAGTGCTGCAATGCTTAAAAGTGCTCAAGATATTTAACATGCAAAAGCTCAATTATTCGTGTCAGGGAGGGTTCAAGAAAAAGGAATGGCAAAGAAAGTGCTAAGGGTGGATAAAAGAAGTAGAGATACTTGAATGATGGTGGATGCCAAGTGATACAAGTATGGACACTTGTCTTCTATTTTATTTTTTGACTCGTGGAAAAAGTCTGTTCTGCATATTTTTAACAAGAATTGCCCCTATAATATTGACTACAATATTATAGTCTGGTAAATGATTAAGTGTCTCTGGTATGTATGGACTATAGCAAGAATTCTCACTTTTGCTTTAGGTGTCACCATTTGGGAGCTTATGACCTTTGGTGGAAAGCCTTATGATGGGATCCCAACAAGAGATATTCCTGACTTGTTAGAGAAAGGAGAACGGTTACCGCAGCCTCCTATCTGCACCATTGATGTTTACATGGTAATGGTGAAATGTGAGTAGCTTTAATTTGATTCTAGTTTTTTGTATGGGCGAATTTTACTGAAAGGGTTTCTCTTGCAGCTGACTGCCACAAATCCTTTGTAGTAATGCTTGCCATTTTGAAGTATTGAAGCAGTTATGTAAATTATATTCAAATAATATATACTGCTCAAAAAAATAAAGGGAACACTTAAACAACACAATGTAACTCCAAGTCAATCACACTTCTGTGAAATCAAACTGTCCACTTAGGTAGCAACACTGATTGACAACCAATTTCACATTCTGTTGTGCAAATGGAATAGACAACAGGTGGAAAGCATAGGCAGTTAGCAAGACATCCCCAATAAAGGAGTGGTTCTGCAGGTGGTGACCACAGACCACTTCTCAGTTCCTATGCTTTCTGGCTGATGGTTTGGTCACTTTTGAATGCTGGCGGTGCTTTCACTCTAGTGGTAGCATGAGACGAAGTCTACAACCCACACAAGTGGCTCAGGTAGTGCAGCTCATCCAGGATGGCACATCAATGCGAGTTGTGGCAAGAAGGTTTGCTGTGTCTGTCAGTGTAGTGTCCAGAGCATAGAGGCACTACCAGGAGACAGGCCAGTACATCAGGAGATGTGGAGAAGGCCATAGGAGGGCAACAACCCAGCATCAGGACTGCTACCTCCACCTTTGTGCAAGGAGGGACAGGAGGAGCACTGCGAGAGCCCTGCAAAATGACCTCCAGTGGGCCACAAATGTGCATGTGGCTGCTCAAATGGTCAGAAACACACTCCATGAGGGTGGTATGAGGGCCTGACATCCACAGGTGGGGGTTGTGGTTACAGCCCAACACGGTGCAGGACATTTGGCATTTGCCAGAGAACACCAAGATTGGCAAATTCGCCACTGGCGCCCTGTGCTCTTCACAGATGAAAGCAGGTTCACACTGAGCACATGTGACAGACGTGACAGGGTCTGGAGATGCCGTGGAGAACATTCTACTGCCTGCAACATCCTCCAGCATGAGCGGTTTGGCAGTGGGTCAGTAATGGTGTGGGGTGGCATTTCTTTAGGGGGCCACACAGCCCTCCATGTGCTCGCCAGAGGTAGCCTGACTGCCATTAGGTACCGAGATGAGATCCTCAGACCCCTTGTGAGACCATATGCTGGTGCGGTTGGCCCTGGGTTCCTCCTAATGCACGACAATGCTAGACCTCATGTGGCTGGAGTGTGTCAGCAGTTCCTGCAAGATGAAGGCATTGGTGCTATGGACTGGCCCGCCCGTTCCCCAGACCTGAATCCAATTGAGCACATCTGGGATATCATGTCTCACTCCATCCACCAACGTCACGTTGCACCACAGACTGTCCAGGAGTTGGGAGATGCTTTAGTCCAGGTGTGGGAGGAGATCCCTCAGGAGACCATTCGCCACCTCATCAGGAGCATACCCAGGCATTGTAGGGAGGTCATACAGGCACATGGAGGCCACATACACTACTGAGCCTCATTTTGACTTGTTTTAAGGACATTACATTAAAGTTGGATCAGCCTATAGTGTTTTTTTCCACTTTAATTTTGAGTGTAACTCCAAATCCAGACCTCCGTGGGTTGCTAAATTTGATTTCCATTAATAATTTTTGTGTGATTTTGTTGTCAGCTCATTCAACTATGTAATGAACAAAGTATTTAATAAGAATATTTCATTCATTCAGATCTAGGATGTCTTATTTTTGTGTTCCCTTTATTTTTTTGAGCAGTGTATATTAACACCTTGAAGTTTGTAAGGAGATGAATCTGACTGAAGGGCCTTGCATTAGTTGAATCCTTATTGTTAGTAGATAATATCACACAGTATTGCCATGTATCAAATCCATTGCACGCGAATTACATTCTTTTCGAATGATAACTAGTTTATTAGATGATAGCATTTCATGTTCTAGAATCATATAGGAAAAGTTGTAAAGAGATTAACATTTTTTTCCAAATTACAATATAAAAAATAGAATGAAACAAAACCAGTTTGGGGAAATAGTTTTCCTTTGTACAATCAGTACAATCATTTATAGATGTTGGTATGTCTTGCTAACTAGAGTGCATCTCTGTGAGAAGATTACAATCAAGGAGAATCTGGAGACAAATTATTTTGTTTATGTTTGCATCTGGATTCTCACTTGGCAAATCTCCCTCCCCAACTGTTCAACTGCTAGAAGATGTAAATCCTGGAGCTCCAGTTTTAATTTTGAAAGAATTAAGAAATACTCTGTGGTATTTCTGGTTTAATTTAACTGAGATTAACAAACAGTCATTTCTTCAATGTGGCTTGCTGCTCACGTATACACATGAAAACATTATCATAAGATACAAAGAAGATGATCCCACTTATGGTTTGAATTGAGTGGTAGCAGTAGGGCACAGCAATTGGATAGGAAGCATCAACTTTCTACTGGCTAACTGGAAGAAGGAGAAGGAAAAGGAGAAGGAGAAGAAAAAGTTTTCCTGCTTCTTGTGTTATATGCCAGATGATAATCAAGTCTGATAACCAAGCACATGAAAGTGAAAAAAAAAGCAAAACCATAACTGATATCAACCCAAATGTCAAAAATATCATAATGCAGGGAATGAGAAAGACATAAAAACATCCAAGATTAATGTGGGATATTTTGGCCTTGACTCATCAAAATCATGGTCAATGGTAAACTGATCCCATTAACTGTGATAAATGTTGGTTTAGTTTGGGTTCTCTTAGAAACAGTTAACACACGGGTGTCAAACTCGCTGCATCATGAGGTAACCATTTCTTCTAAGCTTTGTAATGCACAGTAAAAAGAAACTTTCTTTGCATGGCAAATGCTTCCCTAGCAGCCACAGACAGTAACCAGGCTGTATATGCCCAGATATAAGAACTGTGGTGGCGCAGTAATTAAAATGCAGTATTGCAGGTTAATTCTGCTGACTGCTAACTACCAGCAGTTTGAGTCTCACCAGCTCAAGATTGACCCAGTCTTCCATCTTTCTGAGGCTGGTAAAATGAGGTTTCACGATATTTTCCCTTTTGGGGAGCTGGGGTGGGCGTGGCCTGCATCAGACCTGCGGGCTATCAGTTTGACAGCCCTAAGTTCTTTTGTTTTTGTATCTGCTTTTCTCAGAGTACACTTCAATACAAGAAATTTAAATGCATGCTTTCACAAGGGCATAATTTTTTAGACTTTTGTAAGTAACACAAAAATAAATGCATTTTTCCTTTTGGAAGCTTTCCACTGCAACTCAGTTGTCATTTAAAGGATGAATTGTTTTGTCACCTGCTGCCTATCAGACTGCAGGTGGAACTACATATGATTGAAAATCCATCCACAAAAGTTATTATTTGTCCATAGAAAACTTTTATTTAGTATACTGGTTGATATAATTTCAGTGGGCAAATACAAGTTTTTTATTGATTCTTCTGACATAAACTTCAGTTGACAAAGATTTAGATCAAGTCTGAATTATTCATGTCAGACAGACTAGATCAGAATCTCACACTTTGCACTGGAAACTAAAAATTTATTTGAATCTTCAATTTTTATTGTAAGCTGCCTTAGAAATGTGCAAATAAATAAATTGTTATATTGATAATAAATAGCAAAAATACTGATTCTGAAAATAAATTATTAGGCTTTGTCATCACCGTTGTTTCATTATTCATTTTTTCCTCAGTTTCTTTAATATAGTTATCCTAATAATTTTTTATTCATTTAAAATAAGTGAGGTATTATGAGCAATAGAAAAAGTGTTCATGATGATTTATTCATCCCTCTTTTGGTGGAATTAATTGCATGATCGTGGTTGGAAAGTATGAATCTATATGAAGTGGATCCATAATTCTTCCTATGAATTTTTCTACTGGACTGAGTGATCCTATAACATCTGAGGACATAGATATGATTGTATATTAGAGGCAATTTTACAAGTTGTCTTTGGTGTCAGTCATGCATTGCAACTAAACAAAGAAAAGTTTTACATAAGCAGGTAAGACTCATTGTACTGGAACTTCATGTTGAACAATGACAGATTTGAAGGCACATCAATGCTATCTTCAATTAGGCTTGCTCTAAGATAGGCTAGGGGCCTATTGCTGAGGAGAATCTAAGAGTTAGTAATGCTTTGTACCCTTTGGCTTACAGAAGAGAAGTAGGGCAAAGTAACCATTTCTTCTAAGCTTTGTAATGCACAGTAAAAAGAAACTTTCTTTGCATGGCAAATGCTTCCCTAGCAGCCACAGACAGTAACCAGGCTGTATATGCCCAGATATAAGAACTGTGGTGGCGCAGTAATTAAAATGCAGTATTGCAGGTTAATTCTGCTGACTGCTAACTACCAGCAGTTTGAGTCTCACCAACTCAAGATTGACCCAGTCTTCCATCTTTCTGAGGCTGGTAAAATGAGGACCATGATTACTGCGGGCAATATGCTGACTCTGTAAACCACTTAGAGAGAGCTGTAAAGCACTGTGAAGCAATATGTAAGTGCTATTGCTATATTCACCATTAACAACAGATACACAGAAATATTAATTATGGTAGGCATAAAATTCAGTAAAAAAAAACACTCATGGATCTTGTCATGTTTAGCCACCTTTATGGTTTTGAAAAATGTTTATTTTTAAAGATATTGGTTATTTGAAATACAAAAAAAATCATAATAGATGCACCTGGTTGGGAATATTAGAGACAACCGAAATCTACATAGCAGCTGGAACTGAACATCCAATTGTCAGGCTCAGACTGGGATTCAGAAGTTGGAAGATGGACATTATAGTTCTCAGCCACAAGCAGAAAGAGAAATAACTAAAATGCTTTACAGACAGATAACTCAGGCAATCACAAACACAAATTACACATCTGATAATGTGTAAAGCAGAATGAACAGTAAAAAAGAAAAGAAAAAAGAATATATGTAAAAATGCATATATTAATTGTACCTTATACCAGTGTTTATTGCAAGTCAGGTCCTACTGAATATGCTTAGTTTCAGAAAGAAGTTTTTAAAAAAATAAGATGGTTGACTTGCAGAGTGTGGTAAAGAATAATAATATTTAAAATGGAAATATGAGGACATTACCAAATTGAAGAGTTTTAGAAATAACTGCTTAATTTCCAGTGGTCTCTTCATTATTACGATTTTAATTAATCATTTATGAAAAAAGAAAGTCTTGTAACAAAAGCACTTTTTCTCTCTTCTTGCACATGGCTATAGGTTGGATGATTGATGCTGATAGTCGACCAAAGTTCAAGGAGCTGGCTGCTGAATTTTCTAGAATGGCTCGGGATCCTCAAAGATATTTAGTCATTCAAGTAAGTGGCCTGAATTCATCTTCTTTTCTTTCTCCTCCTGCTTCTTCCTGGCTGATAGTGGCTATGTACATGTAAACATTTTCTCAGCATTTCGTGTTTTTTTAACCTTGAATTTTTGAAATGCCTATGCATTTTCAGAACAGTTTCTACCACTTTTTGGGGTTTTGAGAGTAGTTGAAGTGTTCTCAAGTCTCTGAAAACAGATAAATTAGGGCATATGTTACTTCTGTTCTATTTAGTAGAAAATGAAATATGCCATTTTGTGTTAAAAGCCCAATTACCTCAATAGTTCTGCTAATCACAATGCTTTCAAAATATCCTCCATATAAGGTAGGCTATATTTGTAACTCAAATCACAGCATCTGAATATGTTCACCTTTGTGAAGATGGTCCAGATTAGAGGCTGTAAATATTACATGTTTATTTGCCTCACTGAGTTTAGTATTAGCTACACTAAAGTTAGCTACAAATACGTATTAGATCAGCAAACCTCCTTTTCCCTGCCTCAGATGGTGGGTTATTTTTCTCCTGTGCTATTTTTGTGTTTATTTTATCATTAGGTAGAACAACAAAGATTGCCCCATATTTCAGTAAAATGAAATATTTTAATTCTCACCCAATTTCTCTTTGTACATCCATTAATAGTTTTGAGCTTTAAAACAGGGATCTTTCAAGATTGGACTACTTTGAGGATGTTTGGAACAGCCACAAAATGCTTCTAGCAAAATGAAAACACTTGTTTCTGTCTCAAGATGTTCTGGATGTGCTATATTTGTGCTCATCTCATCATTAGCATTTGCACCCATTTTTTCATAAATCTATCGGATTCTTCTATAAACATTAACAGCAGCAATACAATGGATACTTTTTATTAATAGGAAACTAGCCATTAAAAATATGTAGTTCTGTTCAGCAAAAGCTTTTTAATTGTGGAAAGAAGGTGCATTAAAGTTTTTTAAAAAGCGCATATTCTCTTTCTTCCTTTAGAGGCTATTCTGGTCAATGCTAGTACAGATTAGCTTAAATGAAAAGCCTGAATATCAGTACACAGAATTGTTAAAATACATCAAGAATGGTTGGTAACTTGAACACTTTCAATTTTGGACTCAAGAAACATATTCTACACATTCCCCAAAGTTAGCATTTCTGTTCCAGCACCTCAAAAGAAAAAGGGTGAGGCCTGGGAGCAAGATGATAGTGTGACAGATAAAGACAGTTTCAACAATTCCAGGATTCCCCAAGGAACACAAAAAAGAAAGTTAAGACAGTCAAAATCCCACTGCTAGAACAATAGATTTCCTACTTTGCAAACAAAAAAAAAAGTTATTTTATTCAAAATTCAGGTGAGAAATCAGATTAACGTTTACCTATTAGAATTGTATTCCTTTAAACCAAGAAGCCATGAAGAAGAATTCATGAATTCTTCGTGAAGAAGTTGCCCTACATGACATTAATTATTTGTCATTTAGCTCAGAATATTAAACTGAATGGGAGCATCCCTCAAAGATTTCAGACAAAGATTTTCTCCAGCATCTATTAGTAGATTTCACTAGAGATGCTAGAGACTTAATCTGCAAAGCAGGTTTGTCACTATAGAGCAAAGATGTTTACTTTTCCCTTCCCACAATTAGACTTCTACAAGCCACTAAATCTTAGTTCTCTTGATACAGAAAACAAATGTCCATTATGAGGCTGTTATAAGCTTTGTTTCTGTACAGCTAGGTATATAATTAACATTGCAATAATTGTATTTTAGAAAAGTAGTAACATATCACCATCTCTTTTGCTGGGATTACTCCTCTCCATAATACTTTTCCTGATAAAACAGTTTAAATACAAGGTTTTGATTTGGAATTGACATAAACCGGATACTTAGGAAAGAATACTATTGAATAATTTTTTTGAAATTGTTTTTGCTTTTTGTGGAAAGAACAAGGGTATTCAATAAGGAGAAGTATGAAAGAATATAATATAACTAGATTCACAGAATCATAGAAGGGCTGGAAGGGACATTGCAGGTCTTCTAGCCCAACTGCCTCCTTACGACAGGAATCTTATACCATACCAATCAAATAGTTGTCCAGTCTAAAACCTCCAGTGATAGCTAATAGCAAGCAGATGGATGATCGATGTGATCATCAGTGTAATCATTTTTAATTTTCTGTCAATGGGACATTGTACAGGGTGATGATCGCATGAAGCTACCAAGCCCAAATGACAGCAAATTTTTCCAGAATCTGCTGGATGAGGGAGACCTGGAAGACATGATGGATGCTGAAGAATATCTTGTCCCTCAGGCATTTAATATTCCTCCACCTGTCTATACATCAAGGACAAGAATTGACTCCAACAGGGTAAGAAGAAAAAAAAGGCTTGGCTGAACAAAAGGGCACATGTACACACACATACACACAGAGAGATCACTGGCAAAGCAATCCACACAATAATTATTATATTCAGATCTTTGCTTGGCTAAGTAGCTTCAGGAGATGGAAAATGTCAGATTAAGGACAGTCATTTAGGTCTGCATTTCTCTAAAACTTGAAGAACAAAAGAGTACAGGTAGCCCTCAATTTACTAATTCAGTTTTGTCAGTGTTGTTGGAACTTTGAAAGATCATTAAATGAATGGTTGAAAATCAAGAATTACTTGTACTCAACAGAGTATCCAATATAGATTATGTCACTCAGGCTTCTAACAGAAGTAGCTGATGTACATGGATGTTGAACTGACATTGCTGCCTTTCAGGAGAGAAGGGAAGGATCACCATAAAGTGTATCCATATTCTCATTCAACAAATGTGTTAGCAGAATAAACATGCCTGTCTCCTGAGAAGTAAAAGCTCTCTTTTCAGCACAGTCAGGCTAATACCCTTAGAATCTGTCACAAAGCCAAAGAGAAATGGCCCATGCATATTGTTTCAACAAAACCAAGAGGTGGGGACTCTGTCTTTTTAAATGCATGATTCATGAAACATTCAAAACAAATTTTCTTGTAAAGATGCTCATCTTTGTCAGCAGCTCCACAAGCTTTCTTGTACAAACAGTAGTATCTATTTCACCTGGGGATAGATTTTTCTAAATATGATTTGTTTGTATCTCTTGACTGACCTGCCCTAACAAGATATCTGTCATATAAAATACATGTGTACAATCCACAGAAAATAAATGTGTCTTTCAGGTCTGCTAATCTGGATTTACATTCTTATCTGGGAGCAAAATGGCTGGAGACATAGCAGTAGGCATTCTGGTGCAGTTCTTATTTAGACAGGAGCAGGAGGAAGCAAGTTGGTTTTCTTGGCCTGCAGAGTTGAATACAGTGTGGTTTCTTGGGCCATTGGTCGCTGTCTGATTCTCACCCTTGTCACCAGTCATTCACTTGCTGTGATGATTTAATAAAAAGGCACTTCAACAAGTTCACATATAGAGTTAATGATGAATGCAGCTCACATGTTTACCACCACAAATTGTATACCAGACAGAATAGGTTGGTATGGATGTAGAATTATTCTTTTTTTCATTGTTGAAAGAGAAAAGCAGTTGGAATCAGATAATCCTCAAGTTACGACCACAATTGAGCCCAAAATTAATGTTGCTAAGTGAAATACTTGTTAGGTGAGTTTTGCCCTATTTATGACCTCTCTTGACACAGTTGTTAAGTGAATCACTGCAGTTGTTAAGTTAGTAACATGGCTGTTAAATGAATCTGGCTTCCCCATTGACTTTTCTTGTCAGAAGCTTGCAAAAGGTGATCACATGACCCTGGGATACTGCAGCCGTCTGTTGTGGTCCACCAGTGGCTTGTGGAGCTGGCGGCAGAGTCAGACAGTGGGGAGGAACATGGGCCAGTCTGGGGAAGACTCGGACGAGGAATCTGCATCCGACACAGAGATGGGGCCAGGGCTATCTGAGAATTACGTGTGGACTCCGGGGCCTCCAGAATCTGGTATCAGTGAGACAGAGGAACAGGGAGAGCCTGTTCCCAGTGTGCGCTTGCGCAGAGCTTCCAGAAGGCAAGAACAATTCAGACAAAAGGGGTGACTCGGGAGTAAGGCTTGGAGATGATTGGCCCCTCCCATAAGACATAAAGGAGGAGCAAAGGGACATGAGCCTTTGCAGGAAGCAACATTGTTCATTCTGGTCAGTTTAAAATCTGAAGCTCCATGTTGACTTTGTGCTCCATTTGGCCTTGTACAGCTAATTGGCAATTTAGTCATTGGCAGCATTTCAAGGGAAATAAAGGTGGGTGCTTATCAGTCTTATCCCGAAAGACTGTGGCAGACTTCTGTTGGACTATTCATAAACTGTTTGGGACTCATTACGGGCTGTGAATGCATATAATTCACAGCCATTGAAATAAAAACAAGATTTTTGGGAACAGCGTGTGATTGTTACTGTCTCAGGAAGCCTTGGTCAGAACACCGTCGTAAACATGAACCAGTTGCCAAGTGTCTGAATCTTGATCATGTGACTGGGAATGCTGCAATGCTCGCATGTGTGAAAAAGGGTCATGTCACTGTTTTCAGTGCCATTCTAATTTTGAATGATCACTAGATGAACTGTTGTAAGTCAAGGACTATTTATATTCTATAGAAAAAGGAAGTTTAAACAGTTTCAAGCACTTTAAGGGAAGAGAACTGATCAGGATTGTTTATTATGCTCTCTTTTCATCAGGAGAAGCAGGAGGAAATAATTGTTTATGTCCAAGCTTCAACCCCTTTGCCATTCAAACATATGCTTCATCTAAATGTATTTTTGTCTTGTATTTTTGTCTTGTATTATTTCTATGAGATTGAAGTTCTTTCTTCTTTCCTTTGTCTAAAGCAGGGGTGTCAAACTCACGGCCTGCAGTCTGGATGCGTTACGTGCTGGCCCCACCCGGTTTAGCAAAGGGCGGAAAAGTCCCAATGCATCACGTGACACCGCCGTAACGATGCAAGTTTGACACCCCTGGTCTAAAGCACCATGTAGAATATAGATTAAAATGTACCTGCACTCCTTTCTGCTGCTTGACCCAACTCAAAACTTAGTAGAAAAATAATATTTCCCTTACTTGGATCTCTGGCCGTTCCCCTCAAACTGTATTAGCTGTCAGGATTTGAAAAGTCTCATCCGAGAACCTGTAGAGATTCCACCAGCATAACAGAGCACTACTACAGTAAAGAGCATTTAACTCTGGCTAAATATGAAACACATTTAGAGCTTTTCCTCTGCAAAGGAAAACACATACTAAAACATATTAAACATTGTTCATTGCAAGGCTGAAACAGAACCAGCGAAATGAACTCCAAGTTCAGTTTTTACAATTACTATTCTTTGGCATACCTCTTCCTTGGGCTTACTGGAAAGTAAACTTGTTTGTGCTAATGAATATGAATATTAAATGGACCTATTGCAATTGATGGGATTACCATGAATGGGAAATAAATTGAAGCAGCTTAAGCTGTTTATACTCATTGTTACTAGGAAATGAAATTTTATAGTAAAGTTTCTATGTTCTTATATAGAATCTATAGCTATGAAATCTTTTCTTTGAGTTTAATGAAAAAGTGACTTGCCTCATTAAATTATAAATTTATTTGAATATTTATACAATAAATTAAAGAAGATAATTCCTTCTTTGTACTAATTTCAGGGTTTTTGAACTCCTCATATAATATATTTCAGTGGAGAATTTTCTCATGGAGATTTTTAGCTTTCTTGCAAAGTTAAAGATCGGTGATACTCATGGATTAATATGTTTCTTGACCTTATAAATAATGTGTTCCTTGCCCTTTACAGTTATGCCTATGCATATATTTTTTTTAGAAAAATACTATTCTTTGGTTATGAAGTAAAAAATGGGCTGTCAGGAAGATTTGCTATGAACTACTCTGCTGTTGCCAGAAATTGTTTATCATTGTTTTTTCATTTGAATTGCTTTATGTCTATGGCAAATCCCACTTTTAAGTCCATTTTCTGCTTAAAAGGATCTGGGGTATCTCTTTGTAGGACTGGTGTTCTGGAGACAGTATATCTGCTGTAGTGAAGTGTGTGCTTTTGCACCTGTACACAGGCGGTTGTGTTCTGTTGGCCTCTCTGGCTTCCTCACATGGAGATGAGCCTTTCCTGTAAAATCTCTGTTATTTTGTCTGCCCACAAGGAAGAGCCTATTTGGTAGATTCCTCCATCCACACCTTGACAGAGAATTTTTCTTTTTGAATCTTGACTTGGGAAGAAAAGTGGAGAAGACCATTTAATTTTGACTTTTTTTGGCCTTTCCTTGAACTATCTAAAGCAGCTAGGATGTGTCTGGTTTTGTGTGTGTGTGTGTATGTGTGTGTGTGTGTGTGTGTGTGTGTGTGTGTGTGTGTGTGTATGTATGGTTATGAGGTTAAATACTTTACCCTATCAGAGTCTGCATACTAGTTTGAAAAACTGCAAGTTGCTTTATGTAATTAAGGTTATAGAGCTAATTAAGAGTTGGAAGAAATAGGAAAAAGGAGAAAGAAAAATACTATGACTCTTCTTTTTTTAAAAAAAAAACTTTTTATTAAGAAATTTTAATTACAATAGTAAAAAAAATCAATACAAACTAAATTTAGAGAATGGAAAGAAAAACTAAAAAGTACAAGGAAAACAAGACAGAAGAAAAGAAATGATATATAATAAAAAATATAAAAAACTGATAAAATTGATTTTAACTCAACTAGTATAAATACATTTAATAACGTTATATTCCCTATAAGATTAAAAAGATGTCTCTTAATCACATATCCCATCCCTTATCTTTAAGAACATCCATATAGCATCAGCTTTTCAATTCGCATGTCAGCAAAAAAACCATAAGTCATTGCCAGAACATTGCAACAAAATGTTTTATTTTAACATTGATCAAATAAACCAATTTTATATTCCTCCCTTTTACTTCTAACAGTTTTATTTCAATCAGTAATATATTTAAGTCAATCAAATATTGTCATAGGATTTTATTTATTTCAATTCTTTATCCTATTGTCCAGATTTCTTGAATGTTTTAATAAGCTTCTTTTGTAGCTCAATAAGAAAACATTTTCCAGGTTATTCTCTTAGTTTATCATTTGAATTTCTCTGTTTAACAACTTCAGCCAGTTTCTTTGGTATATCCAGTAAACCATACCTTTCTGAATCACTGCCTTGGTCTGTCATTTGTAGTTCCACATTTTGTACTTTTTCTGTCTTATCAGATAAATGTTTTCTATATCTGTCATTCTTTAATTAACTTATTTTAGACACAATCTATAAAAGCAAATATCGTTACTCATATCTCAGTGTTAATATTGTAGTTAATATTGAAGTTGACTTCTGGCTCCATTCTTCAAAATCTCTTTTAATAT